GGAGAGAAACCCTTTGAATGCGGTGACTGTGGGAAAAGTTTCAGTCATAATTCCAACTTAGTTCAACACCAGAGGACTCACACAGGAGAGACACCCTTTAAATGTCCTCATTGTGGGAAAGGTTTCAGTCACAATACCAGCTTGGTTCAACACCAGAGAATTCACACAGGAGAGAAACCATTTGAGTGTACTGACTGTGGGAAAAGTTTCAGTCACAATTCAAGATTGGTTGAACACCAAAGGATTCACACAGGAGAGAAACCTTTTGAGTGTCCTGACTGTGGGAAAAGTTTCAGTCATAATTCCAGCTTGGTTCAACACCAGAGGATTCACACAGGAGAGAAACCCTTTCAGTGTCCTGACTGTGGGAAAAGTTTCAGTCAGAATTCCAGCCTGGTGAAACACCGGAAGATTCACACAGGAGAGAAACCCTTTGAGTGTCCTAACTGTGGGAAAAGTTTCAGTCACAATTACAGCTTGGTTCAACACCAGAGGACTCACACAGGAGAGAAACCCTTTGAATGTCCTGATTGTGGGAAAAGTTTCAGTCACAATTCCAGCCTGGTGAAACACCAGAGAATTCACACAGGAGAGATAGCCTTTGAATGTCCTGACTGTGGGAAAGATCTCAGTATTAGGTTGAGCCTTATAAATCATGTCCTTATACACATAGGGGAGAAGCCATTCAAGTGCCCCGAGTGTGGACGGGCTTCAGGCAACATTCCACCCTTATTGCACACAGGAAAATCCACATGAGTGAGAAATGAGAAATGTAGAGAAGGCTTGAATTTCATTTCTAATGTCCCACTGTAAGTCCAACTGAGAAATTGACTGTTTAATGTGACTACACAGAATTTGTAATGGTATAAGATGGGGAAAAGTAAAGAAAAAATTGGAACATATTATTTTGATAATGGCTATCTGGTCTTCAGCATAAGAAGTTCCTGGATATTTATCTTTGTAGAAATTGGGCAATTATGTAAAAATCTTTTGGGGAGTGTTCTTTGCATTTTTGTGATGATAGATGATAGAAATGCTACTTGCCATGAGTCCCAGCCATTTTTCCCCTGGGTGTCCCAAAGATTTTCAGCCCCAGAATTTTCCAGCCAGCATCGCTTGGGGATAGGAGCACTCAGACTATAGTTAAGAGATTATGGCACCTCATATAAAGAGAAAGCGAGAGAAGAAGAGAAGT